CTGATGCTGCCTGGCCTGCTGTGTTCCTCCAGCTCCACACTGTGTTACTTCTGCACAAACAGCGTCCCAGCAGGCTTCCAGCCCTGAAAAACAGCTCAGAACCAAGAACCACAGACGTCGAACAGTGAAGCTCAATCGGGAAGTCAAACCAAAAGCATCATCAGAACAGAGGACATCCGAGAGGGAGGAAACCAACCAGGCACTATCCGATCAAGAGCTTCCAGACACAGGCCTGTTCCGAACCAAGAGAACTGACAGCAAGGACCTCAGCATCCAGGCACACTTCAAAATTTTCTTTTCCTTAGTGGTGAGCTGAAACTCCCGCAACCCCCAGAGATTCTGACTAAGCTAGCAGGGAGGGGAATGCAGGTGGTGACAGTGCATGGGACCCCCCGTGGTAGGAAGCCTGTTTAGTTTCTGTGATTAAAACTGCTGTTTAGGTTCTAATAGTGTTTAATTTGCGTTTAACAGTGTATTGCATTACTGTCCTCTGTATAATTGATTGTGCCAATTTCCCTGTTTATTGCATTTACCTTTATTTCTCGTATTATACTTACCCTTTGTATTGTAAATAAATGCAGGAATTCTTATACCCTGAAACAGTTGTCTGCTGCCTTCTTCATTTCACATTCCCTAACTAAGTCCGGTGTCTGGAACCAGAGAGAAGGAGGTTCTGAGGAAGGGTCACCGGACCCAAAACATTAACTCTGTTTTTACCTTCATAGATGCTGCCAGACCTGCTGAACTTTTCCAGCAACTTTGTTTTTGTTCCTGATTTACAGCATCCGCAGTTCTTTCGGTTTTTATCTAGAACCAGAGATCTGGGGGTGATTCCAACTACCTAAAGGTCAACAAATTACTGAGTGCAAACCAGAACCCTACAGTAAGTACCTTTGCTTGACTGGATCTTCAGCCAATCCTGGATTTTCTGTAGAGTTTAAAAAAGAACAATCCAGACTTAAGCCTCTGCAGCCTTTAGTCCATTTAAGGGATGTTTCTTTTGCAACATTTACTGCAGCTGAGTGAGTTAAATGATATTTTCATCCCATGAAAAACTGGTGTATTTGGCAGTGTTGGGGAGGGGGTGGGTTAGGGTCTGGGTCTGCCTTGAACCACACCTCATCCACTCCCACTCCGTTTCAATTCAGTCTCTGCCCTCTCTGCTACCTTCCCTTCCCTTTTGCTGTCATTGCACTGTCCTGATGAGCTGGCTATGTTTGTAAATTGTCCTTTTAATTAGAAACACAGGCGACTTGGCAGTGTTCAGAAAAAAGCTCATTGCATTGCAGGGCAATAAAAGAATTAAAAAATAAATAAACCGCACCTCACTCTGCCTGTGACATTTTACAAACAAAATACTGATTTGAAGCAGAGAAAGCATCACTTAAATGTTTAGTTGTTACAGTGACAGGAAATGGGAGTGGAGATGTTTGAGCTGAATAGGGTGGCATGGTGGCTCAGTGGTTAGCACTACAGCCTCACAGCAACAGGGACCTGGGTTTGATTCCAGTGGAGTCTGTGTGGAGTTTGCATGTTCTCCCTGTGTCTGCTCAGGTTTTCTCCGACTATGAGGGTGCTCTGGTTTCCTTCCTACAGTCTGAAGGTATTAGGATGGATTGGCCATGTTAAATTGCCCTGTGGTGTCCGGGGATGTGTAGGTTTAGCAATGGGAAATACAGGGTAGGGGAGGTGGGTCTGGGTGGGATGCTCTTTGGATGGTTGGTGTGGACTCATTGGGCCAAATGGCCTGCTTTCACACTGTAGAGATTCTATGAATCATGGCATGTATATAACCTCACATGGAAAAAGGGAGGATCAGCTTTAATGCCCAGCCAGTGTTGCCAATGATGATTACAGAAGAAGCAAATTCTTCACCATGTCAGTGAAACAGCCTCTGCCCCCAACAATGGGAAGGATGTGATTGCAGTGGAGGGGGTGCAGAGGAGATTCGCTGGGATGGAGCATCTTAGCGATGAAGAGAGGCTGGATCAGCTTGGGTTGTTTTCTTTGGAGCAGAGATGGCTGAGGGGGGTGGAATCTGTTCGAGATTATGAGGGTTACAGACAAGGTGAATAGAAAGCAGCTGTTCCCCTTAGTTGAAGGGTCAAGAACAAGGGTAGACACCTTTAAAGAGAAAGGCAGGAGGTTTAGAGAAGGTCTGAGGAAACCAGAGGGTGGTGGGGATCTGGAATGGGCAGCCTGAGAGGTGGGAAACGTCACAACATTTAAAAAATACTTGGTGTCGTAACATTCAAGGCCATGGGCCTAGTGTGGGAAAGTGGGACTGGTGTAAGAAGTAGTGCATTTTTGATGGTACAGACTCTACGGCCAAAGGGTGTTTTCTGTACTGTATGATTCTAGGGATGACTAATATTTTTTTATCATCAGTGCCCATGAAGTTTGAGTGGGGTGGGGGGGAGTGGAATAAAGATCCGTGACTTCAAAAGGACATTGGATGGGGTGCCAGCATGGAATGGACTTCCAGGAGTATAGGATAAAATGGGATAACAGGAGTGACTGCACTGTTTTACGAATGGTTAGCATAGGCCTGACAGGCTCAACAACATCCTTCAGTGCAGTAAGGAATGATGATCAGATAAAGATGTACAAACTTTTCAAAAGACAAATGCCCTTATGATTTCCCTCCAGGTTGCTGCAGGCACCAGTGCCTTGGAGATTAATCTCCAATTCTGGAATGTTCCGTGGCAGCCCCGGAGCCTTCGTGACCCCAACGCCCAGCTGACCACCAACAGCAGCATCAGCTACAGGCACCCAGTCAGTGGCTGCACAGCCGAGCAGCTCTGGAACATTCCATTCCACAAGGCACCGGGGAGGGAAATCGACTCATAACGCTGGCACTGAGATTGAGAAAACTCGTCTCGCCGGCCAAAGTGAAGAATATAAAGACAATCGTGAAAGAGGTCACAAGAGGGTGAGTAGTTTTCACCGCAGCTGTGCGGATGGGGCAGCAAGTTACAAAGGCGCTGGTGCAACTTTTATTCCAACTCCTCCCCACAATCTCCTGAGCTACAAAGTGCATTCAAACAGAAGCTGCAGAACTCTGTTTGCTGCTGAGAGAAGTGTTGACAAGTGAGACCGAGAGGGAGAGAGAGGAAAGTTTCCAGCAACCCAAATGCAATTCAGGTAAAAGCTACTATTCTGATCTTTTTCTCCTTAGCTTTTCCAGCCTGCATGGAACCTCACTGTCTGTGTGTGCAGGAGAAAGGGATCTCTTTATTATATTACTTCCTTTTCATTACTGGCAGTATTGCAAGTGATTGACTTAGTAAGAGCTGTGCTGCCAATTTGTTACTCTGGCAAACTACTTCTTCGATAACTTTCGTTCTGATGCATTTCGCATGTAGCAGAAAGTTGCACAGAGTTCCTCAGCAGCCCCAGGAAAGGGACTGGTTTAGCCACAGTGGCAAACTGCAGGTGAAGCTTTAAAGATGGGAGGGAAACAATGTAAAAAGAAGGGAGTGTATTTATATAGTGGCTTTGACAACCTCATTCTGTCTCCACGGTACTTTGACAGCTGACAAAGTACATCTGAAGTGCAGCCACTATTGTGACGAGTGAAAGTAGGTCGCCAATTTACACACCGCAAACGTCCAACAAACAGAATCACAGAAGCATTATGGTGCAGCGGTAGGCAATTTGGTCCATTGTGTCTGAACCAGCTCTCCAAATGAGCAATATGACTTAGTGCCATTCTCCTGCCTGTTCCCTGTAGTCCTTGCACATTATTTAAAGAGGAACAGTCATCCAGTGTCCAATAATGAGAATGACTGACCATGTGTTTTAGTAGCACTCTCAGAGATCATTATTCCAGAATTATTACAGAGTAGCAAGAAGCCACTTGGCCCATCATGCACCAGTTCTATTATCTCGTGCCAATCTCCTGCCTTTTCCCCATGTCCTTGTACATCATTATTATTCAGAAAAAAAAAAAAATCCCATGTTATTTGGAGTTATTAGTCAGAGGACCAGGGAAAAATCACCCCCTTTTACTTCCGCCTGAGAGAGCTGACACGGCCTCTGTTTGACATCGATCCATAGAATCCCTACAGTCCATTGAGTGCAACACTCTGAAGTGCATCCCACCCAGACCCATCCTTTACCCTATCCCTGTAACCCTGCATTTCCCATGGCCAAAACACCTAACCTGTACATCTTTGGACTATGCCAGAAAACCAGAGCACCCAGAGGAAACCCACGCAGACACAGGGAGAATGTGCAAACTCCACACAGACAGCCACCTGAGGTTGGAATTGAACCCATGTCCCTGGAGCTGAGAGGCAGCAGTGATAACCACTGAGCCACTGTGCCAATCCAGACAAGTGCCTCAATACTACATGCGCCTAGCAGCAGCCTGGTTTTGTGCCCAGGCCTCCCTGGTGGACCTTGAAACCATAAGTATCTGACCCAGGATGCTAACCGAGTCACAGCTGACACCTTATGTAATAAGACAAGCAGACTCGGATGGAGACTTCCCAATGGTCAAAGCTGGGAGGGTCTTCCAAATCTCCTGTGGGGCTTATCATGGGAAGCTGAGTAAACTTCTGCAGCATTTCCGCCTCACTGCCTGTGAGATCTTTAGGATAACAGTGTGATGAGGCCAAAGACTGTAGTTGAGCTAAGGTGGGAATCCAGAATAACACAAGCAGTTAAAAGATTCAAACTTGGATCATTTTGGATATGAAGGTGTGTGCTATCATTTCAGATCAATGAATGGTGACACACACCAGAGCCGAATAAAACTGCTCGATGGATATGGACAACTGCCGATGTCTTTATCCAGCAATTCCTATCTGACAGCCGTGAAAGTTTCTTACCTAACAATTTCTGTGAGGTTCTGGGGAACACTCTCAGCCACTGACAGTGTATCAGTGTCAGCAAATGGTGAATGTGGACTTTCATGAATTTACTCTCAGCTGAGGGAGATTTTAAAAACTGTTGGAGGGTTTTGTGTAAATTCCTCTCAAACCTGATGTGACTGTTTGTTCTGAAGTCATCCCAGACTTGAAACGTTAACTCTGTTTCTCTCGTCATGGATGCTGCCAGACCTGCTGAGTTTCTCCAGCGTTCTCTGCGTTTGTTTCAGATTTCCAGCATCTGCATTATTTTGCTTATAATTGATCCCTGTGGCTGTGGAATGGCAAATGGATACACGACAGAAGTTGTAGCACAGTTTACAAGAGTGTTCCCATTGGGACAAACAGTGCAAGCTCTTAAGCAGCAGTTAACCATCTTGTATTCAGTAATTACATACCAGGATTTTGACATTAAACACCCTCAATTGAATAGCACATTGAAGCGCTATTCTTTTGGCTGTTAATTCCTTCAATGTTCTCTTGCAGTTCAGGGATGTAGGGCTTGAAACCATCCTATGGGATTACATCTAATGAATAGTTGAATGCATTTGTCTGAAGTTACTTTGACAGATGCGTTGATCTCTTTTAGAATAAACCAACTCTTCAGGCTCCTGGTGAGGAGCCATTCTTGTGGTCCCTCATAACCTAAACCAGGAAGGGAGGGGGAAACTGGGAGGAGGATCTGGGCAAACTGGGAGGTGGGGGAACAGGTGATGGAGGAGGGACGGTGTTGTGGTTGGTAGAAAACTTCCCCAGAGTAAAAAACACACGAAGAATTGTCAAAACCGTCGATAATCACACCAGGATACAAGTACCATACGAGAGCAAAACCTCAAACATTTCCTAAACATGTGCGTATTCTGTCCCACTATTTTGCTACCACATCCATTGTCCTTTCAAACAATATTCTGCCACCTCTGTCTTGCATGCACCCACTATCCATTGTTATCCCTTTCTTCCTGTCCGTCATGTATTTCACCTTCTGGTGCTTTATCTCATTGTGTTATTTATTTCCAGCTCTAATCCTTCACCGCACATATCATGGGATCATTTCTGTTTTGCCTGGACACACACATTCTTTATTTTCTTCTGATGTTTCATCAGACTCAGGTGTGTTTCCTTTTATAGAAAATAAGGGCAGGAGTAGGCCAACCAGCTCTTCAAACCTGCTCTCCCATTCATTATGATTATGGCTGATCCTCCAACTCAATAGCCTGTTCCCTTTTTGCCCCATATATCTTTTAATCACTTTAGCTCCAAGTGCTAAATCCAATTCCTTGAAATCATTTTTGGGTTTGAGTTTTGGCCTCAACTGCTTTCTATGGCAGACAATTCCACAGGCTCACCACTCTCTGGATGAAGAGATTTATCCTCATCTCAGTCCTACATGGTCTATTCCATATTATCCTTAGACTTGTGACCTCTTTCCCCTATCATCATTGTGTGTCTCTCATCTGTCACTGACTCCTCACCTCATGTTCTTTTCTATTTTGATAACATTGCCTTTGCAGCATGTTTTGTGCTTTCTTTCATACTCTTCCATTTGCTTCCTTCTCCTTATTTTGAGACCGTGGTCTGCTCTGATCACTGATATAGTCACATGTGTTCCTGACTTTAAGATTGAATACCTCTCTGATGTTCTCGTACTTCAGTCTAAATGGACGCATTTCTCTTATTTTCCTTTTGGTATTTTCAGTTTTGTTTTAATTTTTTGCCAGAAGGAGCCAACAATCAGAAATTATTCCCGCAGTGGGATGCGTACTGTGTTCCTGTTTCTAAAACATTGTTCCGCTATCATACAATCTGTTTGATTTCTATAAACATTTCACCAATAAGATGTTTCCTGCTGTAATGACAACCAGCCAAGGGCGAACCTCTCTTGTCAGAGCCCAGTCAGCTGTAGAATTTCACCCGTAGCTGATCCACAGAGAACACAACAACAAAAAAAAGGTCAGGAAAATTTCTAATGCTCTCCATCTACAAGTGGAAGTTAACTAGACCTTAGCTTGATTAAGGTTAACTCCCACTCAGGGAGCACAAGCCTAAATGGAGCCTTTCATAGCAATCAGGTCAGGAATAAAGAGGCTGCAGAAAAAAGCTTTCAATGTTGCATCATTTTGGGGGCGATCCCAACTGGACAGTGGAAAAACTCTCCGACTGGAAAAGGCAACATTCCACGTGCAACAGGAAAGCCAGTGTGTGGTAATAAAGCGCCTTTGTCAACCAGAAAGGTTGACACATACACCCCAGGCTGTAAACACTCATCTCCTGATCTTTGTTTTCATGGAATCCAAACTTACCCGTCTCACACACACACACACACAGGCAACGTCACACGCTGCTTCAATGCGAATTACTCCAGCTCAGCGTATGCTGCAGCATAAAAGCCGCACGACATCCTGCATTGTGCCGTTAATGTGGTTGCAAAACATTCCAGGGCTGTTCGCAACGGGTTTGACCAGGCAAACGTTCAACACTGAGCCACGTCGATAAAGCTTAGGCTGGTGTCCAAAGGGCTAGGTCAAAGGGGTTGACTTAAAGGGGAGGTAGTGTGGAGGAAATGTTTAGGGAGGGAATTCCAGAGCTTAGAGCTCAGGCAGCTGAAGCTGTGGTTAAGATTTTGACAAAGACCAGCAGTATTCCTCCAGCACAACAATATTATGACTTCCTGTGCCTCTCATGTTTAACTTCTCCTCTTGGCTGAGCAACCTCTTATTTCCAAAGTCGGTTGATCACTGGGTTCAGGCTTCACTTACAATGCTTGCTGCATTAGATAAGAGCCCTCAAGAGAAACGCTTAAAACTCCACAAGCTGCAAATCTCCCCTTTCCCTGGCATTGGAAAGAACGTGCTTTAGTGAAACAGAGAGAGATAGAGAAAGTAAGAGAAAGACAGAATGTGAAGGAGGTGAGTGAAAAAGCGAGAAACAAGGTATAGATACAGAAGGCAAACAAGCCAAAGCAAATAGACAGGTCGACAAAGGAACACTGTAAGAGATAGAAAAAGAACAGAATAAGATAAATTGGAAAAAATATCATGACCAGATCCAGAGTGAAGAA